CTCACGATCGTCCTGGCCGATCAGTTCAAATCAGAGGAAAATCGTCCTGAGCATCACCCTATTTTTGAGCTGGCCGATACTTATCATCCTGAGGTAACTTATGGTTGTTGAATGGATTGTCTTGGCCGATCCTGCGATCGTCCAGGACGATATGATCATATCAATCATCCTTAATTACTCCCTTGATTTCCTGATCAATTAAGGCATAATTTGTGAATATCCTCCAGGCCAATCAAGGATTGTTCTGGCCGATAATTTAAAAATACAATATACCTTAATTGTCTATGGCGGCAACTTCTTTCTATTTTGAGTATATCGTCCTGGCCGATACACGTATCGTCCAGGCCGATATGTTAATGACGGCTGCCTTAATTAAGAATCCTTATTTAGACTTTCTGTTTTAAGCCTGATCGTCTAGGCCGATAAAAAAATCGTCCTGGCCGATATGAGTAAAAACAGAAATTCTAAGTCTCTCAAGTGTGTGTGCGTAGGGTTACTTAGCATCAGTCTCTTTGACCATTACAAGTAGACTCAAAAAGTGAAAAACAAAAGTACAGACTGACTCAACCCTAAACCTACGTAATCCTGAACTGGCTTTGTCTTGTTCGTCCGATCTTCGATTCCTGAAAAGTTAGAAGCAACAAGCAGTCCAATAGATATAGTGTTTATCAATCATCAAAATATAATCCATGAAAATAGATTTGCAACAATATATACTAACCTCTTATAGTTATAATATCACCTTAAGAACTTGGAATATTTTACATCTTATGTTTAGATATGCAAAAATTCCTATCTCAATACTCACTTCGAGGTTATACATCACACTAAGTTTTAACTATACATACGGCCACTATGTGCATTTAATATAGAGAAGGATAATATTAAAAATATATTTTAATAGTTTATAGAATAAATCTTCATTAATACTCAAGATATATTTAATATATCAATAAAAAAAAGAGAATTAGCTAGAAATATAATGAATAACAAGAAAAATCATTTCAATAAACTCATGAAAGAATGAAAAATACAAGAGAGTGATATCACCAGGATGGATCAAAGTATCTTCTTTACACTTCATCTCTCTTTAACTTACATAGTTGCTTCAAGAAATACATACTAAACACTCATAATAATTGTATCTTATACTTCCTAGCCTCCCTTAGATTTTACTCTAATAGAGAACTAGAGAAGTACTATAAAAAATACTAAAATTACATAAGTGACTGAACTCCCTCTTAAAAATAGCCCCAAAACTATTTACATAAAAACATAAAAATAGGAACTAGTGTTGCGATGCTTTAAATAATGGCACTATGGCACTCCTTAGATAAACTAGTGACTTAATACTGAAGCTTTTGCACTACTGCGATGCTTACAAGCATGGATTAATTACTTTATTAACACATCTCTTCACTAATAAAATGTAGTCCTTAAAAGTTACAACTGCTACACCACAGTGATGTGGATATTGGAGTGCTGCGGTGCCTAAGTGCAAAATGACATCCATGCATGAGAAATTATGGTGTTATGTCATTTAAAAATAGAGAATCCAATGATACCAAGCTAACTTTTTGAAGTCATGGAATTGATAATACTTTGGTGCTCTCTATATTACCGTTGCAGCACTTGCAAATAGGGAACTCGATGCCACAATTTTATAATTAGAGCTTCTCTATTTTATTGAAGGTAGTGCTGTGATGTTATTTCATTGGCCTCCATGGAAGTGAAGCTCCTTAGAAGTTTTGCCAATTTTTTAGTATTTTTTGCACAAAAAATAACAAAAATTACACATCTTTTTTTAAAAAAATTAATTAAGTAATAGGTTATTTAAAATTATCACATCCATAAAGTAAAATATTCCTTGGGAGGATGCAATAATAATAATTTCTGGTATAGGGAGTGGAAATTTATCTTTAGGATAAGCTTTGTTCATATCTATAAAGTTGATGCATACATGAATTTGACCATCCTTCTTCTTAACTGGAATGAGACTAGCTAACAAGATTGGATATTTCTCCTCCCTAATAAAGCCTGCTTCGATTAATTTCTTACTTTAGAAATCACTTATTATTTGATGTCAGGTTGCATTTATTGTGGTGCTTTCTTAACTAGATTCATTTTTAGTTGAATTTCCAAGTTATAAACTGCTATATTAAAAGATTATCCATACATTTCTTCATAACTCTAGGTGAAATAATCTTTGAATTCCTTTAATAATTCAATCGTTTCATTAGCCTCATTTTTATTCAATAAGAAACTTATAAAAATTGAATTA